GAGGCTGAAACAGGGGAGGGCAGTGGGGGGCACTTAAATATTCACAGAAGCAATTCTACTTTAAATAGTAGTATTGATTTCAAAGCAGAGCAGAACAAAGGTTCACAGCAAAAGCACTTTTGGGAAGTGCAGGGCAACAGTGTGCTGGAAGCAGCCTGAGTGCTGCTTCTCCCTAAAATAAATGTAGAACCAAGAAGAAGCCCTGACACAAAGTGGCAGTGAAAGTGGAAGGGAATGCAGAATGGAAGATTGAGATGTGCTCAGACACTGAGGGAAAAGACAGGTACAGAAAGGGCCAGTGAGAGGGAGCAGTGGGGCAAAACAAGTGGCTGCCCTCGTCTGATTGTCTGCTGGTTTCTGTGCAGCCAATGTAGCCTCATTCTCCATTTAGAGTAAGTTGGGGGCCAGAGCAAATGAACACACAGCATAATTTGTTATGAATCTTGCTTCTGCTGTCAATGAAGCAGTAAACCTATGTCTGGATTGTATCATTTCAGACTGCAGATGGGGGACTCTTGTGATTCTTTTGCACAGAACAATTCTCTTTACATAGAACATGAACTGTTAAGAACAAGGGTTCTAGCTTAGCCATCTCTCTCTTATGCAGTTTTCTCTATGGGTGGGACTTTTTGTATGGAGAAGCATTCAGTCACGTGAGCCTCATCCATCATCTGAAATCATGCAGCTTAGATGCAGGTTTACCACCTAAATAAAAACTAGGTCATAAAAAAATGAAAAAATGAAGATACATGATGTGTTTTAGCCCAGGAAAAAGAAAATTAAGGAGGACACGCTTTGAGTTTTGAAACACTTAAAACTATTTCAGGGGGGGAAATGGGGAACAGTTGCTGACTGTCCAGTGAACACAGAACAAGAAATTATGCTTTACTTTGTCTAGTTAGATTAGGGATAAGCAGCAGAAGAGAAGAAAAATTAAACTTGTAAGTTTTGTGATGAAATCGCAGGCATAAAATGGGGCGGTGGAAACTTTGCCTGGTTCATGTACTTAAAAGGTTCTCTGTAGCCATGAGCAGTTCTCTGGTCCTGTAGAATATTTCAGGCTGCACCTTGCCAGAGGCAGAGCTGACACAGCTGAGCTCTGAGAAGCAGCAGGAGATAGAGCTGCTAGAGGGGTGAGTGTTTTTTATTTGCTTTCAGCTGAGGTGATTTAGCTGAGGGTACTGTGTGGGAGGACTGTGTTTGAGAGTGGGTGGGTGAGTTTTAGGTTGTTGCAGAGAAAGGGTGATTGGCTGTAATTGGATTGACTTGGTATAATCTGAATAGCTGCTGGCCCAGCCCTCTGCTGGGTGAGGCTTCAATTTAAGGCTGCACCTCGCCAGAGGCACAAGCCTAAGGGTGAGAGCCAAAGGGCTCTTGGCCTAGGGACTCTTATACTAGGGGCTCTGAGGAAGCATTCCTGCAGAGAGGGGGGGGAGGGAGAGAGGGAGGGAGGCTCTTGGTAGTTGGTGATTCAATCCTTAGACAGCTGGGTGGCAAACCCACATACTGACCATATGGTGACTTGCCTGCCTGGTGCAAAGGTAGCAGACATTATGCGTATTCTAGATAGGCTGGTAGACAGTGCTGGGGAGGAGCCAGTGGTTGTGGTACATGTTGGCACCAACGATGTGGGGAAATGCAATCGTGAGGTCCTGGAGGAGAAATTTAGGCTGCTAGGCAGGAGAATCAAGTCCAGGACCTCCAAGGTAGCCTTCTTAGAAGTGCTACCTATTCCATGTGCAGAGCCAGAAAGACAGGCACAGATCAGGAGTCTCAATGCGTGGATGAGATGATGGTGTAGGGAGGAAGGGTTCAAGTTTGTTAGGCACTGGGATGATTTTTGGAACAGGAGGAGGCTGTACAAAAGACACGGTCTCCACTTGTCCCAAGAAGGAACCAGGCTGCTGGTACTTAAAATCAAAAAGGTGGCAGAGCAGTTTTTAAACTGAATATTGGAAGAAAGCCGACAGGAGATGAAAAGTCTCTGGTTCGGGATGGCTCATCTCGAAGAGATGAAGGGGTAGCTTTTACTTTTCTACAAGAAAATTGATTAGAATTGTCCACTCAGGCTGTGGCAAATGATATGGACTGCCTGGCAAGGTCTTGAGGCAGCAGGAGGAAGGTTGCAGGCTTAACATGCATTCCAACTCCCTGAGGTAAAATCAGGGAGTTGGAATGCTTGGTGTTGGGGGGAAAATACACATTCTGGGTATTTCAGAAACTTGGTGGGATGAGGAAAATCAGTGAGATATGGTGATTCTTGGATATAAATTATATCGGAAGGATGGGGGGAAGGGTTGGAAGTGGGGTGGCTCTGTTTGGTGCCAGTTTGGTGTAGTGGTTAAGTGTGCAGACTCTAATCTGGGAGAACTGGGTTTGATTCCCCACTTTTCCACTTGCAGCTGCTGGATGACCTTGGGCAAGCCATAGTTCTGATGAGAGCTGTCCTTGAAAGAGCAGTTCTTGAAAGAGCTCTCTCAGCCCCACCTACCTCACAGGGTGTCTGTTGTGGGGAGGGGAAGGGAAAGGAGTTTGTAAGCCGCTCTGAGTGAAGGGTGGGGTATAGATCCAATCTCTTTTCTTCTTCATCTTCTGTATGTTAGAGAGGGTATGCAGTCTAGTAAGACTGAGAGGGTAAAAGAATTGGATTCGCTTCTGGAAATGCTATGGGTTGAAATAGTGGGCCCAAAAGGAAGCTTAATACTGGGAGTTTGTTATTGCCCACCAGATCAAAAAATAGAGGAGGATTATAAAATTATGAATGAATTAAAGATAGCGGCTAGACGGAATAACTGTGTCGTAATAGGTGATTTTAACTATCCACATATTGATTGGGTCAATATGTGTTCAAGTTGGGAAAAAGAGATTGGGTTTCTAGACACTCTCAATGACTGCTATGGAGCAGATGGCCACAGAACCTACCAGGGGACAGGCAATCCTGGATTTGGTGCTCAGTAACACCCAAGACCTGGTGAGAGATGTAAAAGTGATTGCACCGCTTGGGAACAGTGATCATAATGTTGTTGAGTTCAACATTTGTATAAATAGGGAGTTGCCCAGAAAGAGCGACACAACCACTTTTAACTTTAAAAGGGCTAACGTCTCTGAAATGAGGGGACATGTGAGGAAGAAACTGAAAGGAAAAGTAGAAAGAGTCAAAAACATTGGGGAAGCTTGGAGACTATTTAAAACTGCAACCCTAAAAGCTCAGAAAGATATATACCACAGGTTAGGAAAGACACAAATAGGTATAGAAAAAGGCCTGCATGGTTAACAAAGTAATGGAAGCTGTAAAAGGTAAGAAGGATTCCTGTAAGCGGTGGAAAGCTAGGCTCCGTGAGACTGATAAAAGGGAACACAGACTGTGGCAAATAAAATGCAAGTCTGTGATCAGGCAGGCAAAAAGGAAATATGAGGAGCATATTGCAAAAAACATAAAGACCAACAATAAAACTTTCTTCAAATACATTAGAAGGGCCCGGATGGCATACATCCAAGAGTTCTGAAAGAACTCAAATGTGAACTTGTGGATTTCCTGAGAAAAATATGTAATATTTCATTAAAATCTGCCTCCATTCCTGAGGACTGGAAGGTAGCTAACATCACTCCCATCTTTAAAAAGAGTTCCAGAGGAGATCCGGGAAATTACAGGCCAGTCAGTTTGACGTCAATACTGGGTAAGTTGGTGGAAACTGTTATTAAGGAAAGAATTAGTAGGCACATTGATGAACAAAAACTACTGAGGCAGACTCAGTATGGGTTCTGTAAGGGAAGATCTTGTCTCACTAGCCAAAAATCCTAACTATAAATACATGTTGATGGGGTCCAAACTGGCAGAGACTGACCAAGAGAGAGATCTTGGAGTCGTAGTAGATAATTCACTGAAAATGTCGAGACAGTGTGCGACTGCAATAAAAAAGGCCAACGCTATGCTGGGGATTATTAGGAAGGGAATTGAAAACAATCAGCCAGTATCATAATGCCCCTGTATAAATCGATGTGACCTCATTTAGAGTACTTTGTACAGTTCTGGGCACCACATCTCAAAAAGGATATTATAGCATTAGAAAAAGTACAGAAAAGGGCAACTAGAATGATCAAAGGGTTGGAACACTTTCCCTATGAAGAAAGGTTAAAGTGCTTGGGGCTCTTTAGCTTGGAGAAATGATGACTGGGGGGGGTGACATGATTGTGGTTTACAAGGTTATGCATGGGATAGAGCAGGTAGAGAAATAAGTACTTTTGTCCCTTTCTCACAATACAAGAACTCATGGGCATTCAATGAAATTGTTGAGCAGTTGGGTTAGAAGAGATAAAAGGAAGTACCCAAAGAGTGATTAACACATGGAATTCACTGCCACAGGAGGTGGTGGCAGCTACAAGCATGGATGGCTTCAAGATGAGAAGGGAGCACTCACTGGAGAAGACCCTGATGCTGGGAAAGACTGAAGGAAAAAGAAGAAGGGGACGAAAGGGGATGAGGTGGTTAGACAGTGTTATCGATGCAACAAACATGGGGTTGAGCAAACTCCAGAGGACAACGGAGGACAGGAGGCCCTGGCGTGATATGGTCCATGGGTTTGCGAAGAGTCGGACTCAACTGTGTGACTGAACAACGACAAATAGATAGGAACTCTCAGTCTGGTGATTCACTGTATTCTTGATGCGAGGGGGGGCAACAGTGGGAGGACTTCTAGTGTCCTTGCCCCACTGATGAACCTCCTGATGGCACCTGGTATTTTTGGCCACTGTGTGACAGAGTGTTGGACTGGATGGACCATTGACCTGATCCAACATTGGCTTCTCTTATGTTCTTATGTTATGTTCAGGAAGTGGAAAGTATTAGAGTCAAAGACACTTATGTATTGGCCCCCAGCATATAGTTTAGCACATTATTTAATCCAGTCCCACTGGGTTACATCATTTGATGGATTTAATCCATCTTTCTATCTACTTCCCTGCTGGTACAGTTCTCAGGTTTTACTGTTTGCTTCTTCTAGGAATGCACAAACCATTGCTGCAATGCTACCACCTGCACTTTAAGGCCAGAGGCAGTGTGTGCCCATGGGCTTTGCTGTGAAGACTGCAAGGTGAATTTTCATGTGCCCTCACTTGCGTAGGGTGGGTAGTATTCATCTCAGTGTCAGAACCATTCACGTTGCCCTTGGAGCTATGATATGTTTTCAGTGGGCTCTTTAGAGCTGAAGAAATTACCGATGCTTGCTGGGCTATACCCATTCCAGTGAAAATCCTCCAGCATATCTTAAGAAAGAACAGTTCTGCACGTACAAGCCTTCTCCCGTAAGACAATGTGTATTTTTAGTTTATGCACGTGTCAATAATATTGAAGAAGGAGCCTTAAACGTTTATGCCCATTTAAATAATTCTACCACTGCAAAGTCATCTACACTTTGAATACTCCTGTCTGTGCAGTGTCAGAGCCCTACGTTTGCATCGTAGAGAGGAATGAGAGAGGGCTGTGGAGCTGTGTCATAAACTAGATGCACAGTATGTCAAAAAGATGCATAGAAAATGCAGCATTGCCTTTATACCGTGCTTAATGGCCACTTGGTGCAGAGACTTGGGAGGGGGTGAAGCATTAGCCCGTGGCATAAATTTCCCTGTGCAGTAACTTTTATTGATTGGAATTACAGCCACTTTTTTCTTCCTGCAGCTGAAGCCAGCAGGGATCCTCTGCAGGCACTCCAGTAATTCCTGCGACCTTCCTGAGTTCTGCACTGGAGGCAGCCCCCACTGCCCAGCTAATGTGTATTTACATGATGGGCACCCCTGCTACAAGGTGGATGGCTACTGTTACAATGGCATGTGCCAGACCCATGAACAGCAATGCATCACGCTCTGGGGGCAAGGTGAGTCTCATTCCTGGATCTTTCTAGAGACATTTTATCTACAAAAACAAATGGAGTGTGCTTTTGTGGGAGGTACGATTTTACGGCACCAGCCAGTTTTAGGTCCATTATTCCTTGCTGAAGGATATAAGTTTCTTTTTACACTTCTGCCCCACAACAGTTCCCATTCACATAGATACATTTTTGCAGATTGTTGGGGTATGTCCCTCTTGGTGCAAACATCTTTATGGACAGTGGGCTGAGACAGTGAGGATAAGACAAGCAGAGAGATCCTGTTCCAGTTAATCTTTTCACTAGATAGCACAACTTTAACAATCTGCCGGTACTAATCATTTCCCCCTCTCCAACCACGACCTAGCCTCAAGCTCTCAGAAGTATCTTTTTCAGGTAAGTGTTCAAAGCATATCATCAGCACCAGCACTAACAAAATGTATGTGGATTATGCTACTCAATCAGTTTGGGGATCATAGCCTTACTCTAGAGGTCAGAATTCAGCATGTTTTTAAATTCATTATAGAATTGGAACAATACAAGCCCCGAGCTGCAAAGGGTTACCAGCACTAACCCCCTCTGAAGCAGTGTTTGCTGGGGGCATTTGACCCATTTCAGGAATTAAAGGTTGCTTTGCCTCAGTTTACTTAACTGTAAAATGCAAATACCTGCCTACCTATCAGAAGTAATTACTGTAATGTTTGCCTGAGCACTTAGAGATTCTGGGCTGAAAGCCACTCGATAAGTGCACCACATTAACTATGCAAACATAACTCATAGCTGATGCTGAATTAAGAAGAAACTGTGCCACCAATTGTATTTCAATCAGCACTGGGATTTGGCTTTGAGTTTTAGCTGACATTGTATCCTAATCAGGGAAGGTCATTGCCTTGGACAAGCACACAGTCCTTTCACTCAAAACTGAATTTGCTGTTGTACTTAACAATGCCCTACTCCCATTTCCAGCATCCTTTTGGTATGCTGTCAGAGCAGTCCTAAGCCCTATGCACTAGCACATCACAGATGCCACTGCAGTGCTGGTGTAGCTAGCTGATATCCTCAGGCTCTTTTTGTAGAAAAGGCCCAGCAGGGACTCATTAGCATAATAGGCCACACCCAACAGCAGGAACTCATTAGCATATTGGGCCACACCCCTGACAGCACAGCTCATTAGCACATTAGGCCGCACCCCCATGTTACCAGAAGTGTGCTCATCCAGCCACACCCACCTTTTGCTTCTTATTCTGTTTACCTTGTTTGCTGTCAAAACCCAGGGCTTTTTTGTAGCAGGAACTCCTTTGCATGTTAGGCCACACACCCCTAATGTGGGCAATCCTAATGAGTTCCTGCTGTTGGGTGTGGCCTATTATGCTAATGAGTTCCTGCTGGGCGTGGCCAACTTGGGAGCCAGCCGGAACTCTGTTCCTGTGTGTTCCTGCCCCAAAATAGCCGTGGATATACTGCACTCTCTCAGCTGAGAAAAGAAATTCTAACCAAGACCCAGATCCAAACAGCTATCAACTGCACTGGAGTCCGTAGTGACACTGATGATGCTCACCACTCACAGAGCAGCATGCTGATGATGCTCCCATGTCTGCCAGGTATGGAAGCAGCCGACCAATGCACGCTGTTGCTGGCTTTCCTCCTGTTAGCCAAACTGCTTTATCTGCAACAGCTGGCAAACTAAATTTATATGGGTTCCTGCCTTTGTATACTGAAGTCCAATCCACTCCAAGGGTTTTTACCAGTGAGAGAGACGAGACTGGTGTGTTCCAAAACAATTTGTCTTTTACTTAAGAATATATAAAATCACATACACACAAAATCAGATTCACACATACAATCAATCAAGTTCCTCAGAAGTACAGAATTACAATAGTTACTATAGAAATCACAGGTAGGGCAATGGGTGACAATACTTATCTGTCCTGAAGCTTGTCCGTCTCAATGAAGAATAGAGGGGTCAGAAAATATACTAGGGAGATTTAACACACAGCTAGAAACCAGTCAGCATGCGTGGACTTCGTGGCTGCAGACCAAGAGATCAAGTAGGAACAAAGGATTTTTGGATAGGAAGCTGGGCTTGAGAAGGGTTTCAAGCAGACAGAGGGCGTAGGTGGGGGTAGGCGGCTAGCAAACGCTAAGCAGCTGGACCTCACCTTTTATAGGTTAATCCTTTAGTGGGTGGCATCTATGCCAGTCTGTAAACCCATCTACCTGGAAGTCCGTCCCAAAACTAATCTCATTAGTGCGTGTAGTAAGGTGTTGACACCTAAAGGGTTTGGCCAATATTGAAACTCTAGACTCTAACTCAAGAGATGGCATCTGGTGAGGTGTGAAAGCTTGGTGCTAGGATGCCCATTGAAGTGCAGATGAATCTTGCCTGTTCCCAGGTAATCAAAGCCCATCTCCCATCTGACAGGAAATGGCATCTCAGACGTAGAGCACAAATGTGTATACGTGTGCTTTCAACAGTTCATCAATGGAGGCTGATTTCAGACAAGTTGTTGTTTGGCTGGCAACAATGGCGATGTGCTTCTTCTTCCCTACAGGCAGCAGCTGTGTATTTGAAACCTCATTAACATGTAAGGCTTAGAGCAGGTCACTATCTATGTGTATCTCACAACAAGCGACTTGTACAGCGTTCCTTGAGCCTATGGGTGTATGTATGCACAGTCCATGTGGTGTTGGCAGCAAGTAAAGCAAAGATTAGCCTCAATTCTCAACTCTCCCCAACATCATCCTGCCCCCACTGAGGAGGAGAATGTACAAAGGGGCTGAGCAGAGCAAAGTTAGAAATATTCTATAGTAATGTTTGTTCTCTTCCTTGGCAGTTGGTGCAGAGTGCTTCCTTTTTGCGCAAAATGCACTTGCCAGGGTTCCCATCAGCAAAGCCCATTTCCCCCCTCCCCCGGTGGATGTTCTAAGTGTGTCCAGCATGAGGCCGGAGAGATACAGCCCCATTCTGAGTAACCTGCCATCTGAGAGGCTGGTGTCCTGGACAGTTTCTGTAGAACGTTCTTACCACTTTGAAGCTCCGTGAGAAAGTCTGTTTTAATGCTGCGAGTCTACGGCACTACTTCCACAGTAGGGGCTTTCCTGCTGCATTTTCATTGCTTACCACAAGTCCATGCCTGCTCAGGGAGGACTGCAGACAAGTGAACACCCCCCACCCCAGAAGAAATTTACTTCATTACATCAGTTTGTGTGGCATTCCTCACAGTAGAATGTGAAATTTTGCACAGGGAGAACTAACGTTGGAATGCAATATAAGTAGCATAATAATGCAATTGCCTTGGACTATTTAAAAAAACAAAGAAAAGAAATGAAAACGATAAGCTAATTAACCGGAAACTGTTCCCCCATAATGTGGGGTTGGGGGTGGGACATGCAAATGTGGAAGGGAGGAGAGGACGGACCCAGAGTTGAAAAACACCAGATGAGAAAGATTTTCCCACTAGGTTGACGCTGGTTCAGTGCTGGGATTACAAAAACTTCCTGGAAACAGGGGATTTGGAAGCTGCGTGGCAAGAGGGGGGGAGTGCGTTTTTACAGCTGGGAGGGCAAAATCATCTGCGGAAACCAGGGAAAGCTGCAGATGAATAGAAGTGCAGGTGCAGGAAAATTTTACACTGCGGAATCAGACTAGGGCTTATTTAGTGCTTAGAAGAGCTGCGATGGGTACAGTCTTATTTTGTACCCTAAGCTGCACTGTAGCTGTGTAGGTGTGGCAGGAGACAGGTGACAGGGTATTTACTCCCATTCATTTCAGTGGGAACATTTATATTATGCCAGCTTTTCCACCTCATAACATTATGCCAGAACCAGGGGCAGAACATGAGCTTAATGGGCTTGGGATTCTGACCCAGTATACCCATCTATGGGCCTTTACCGGTAGAGCAGCACCAGGGCTCTATGCCGGCATCTCTCTGACTTGCACTGATGTAAGTGCTTAGTGCTCATCCTAAAGTTGCAATCATAGTCACACTAACTAGGGAGTAAATCCTACTGGAGTTACTTCTGAGTGTGGATGCCTCAGACTGCACCATAAGTAGTTTGCAGGATGGACTTTGGGTTCCACTGTGTGTCAGATATGGGCTTAACGCTTCTGTTCGTTTTTCTTAATCTGCCATCATAGCCCATGTTTAAACTCTCCTCAGTGGCTGTGCCATGGAAAGACGGCACTCTTAGGTTAAGTAGCAAATATGTTTCAAAGAGGGGAAATTATCTGTCAGTAGACGCCTCTTTATATGAAAGCTTAAGTGAGATTTACTTCATAATCGCTTCTGATCCTATTAAAAAGCATATATACATTTGCATACATGCGCTTCAAGTAAGCAATCATTCTTTTGGCAGCCTCAAAAAGTATCAGGCTTTTTAAAGGTTAATGCCTTTCTTCTTCCAGGAAAATCCATAATTTTTTTCCTTGCCAGCAGATTTATCTGCATAGCTAAATGCCTGCTTGAAATGCCAATAAAAGCAGCAGATAATATCTAAATACATAACTCTCGGCATAACTCAATCATCTCACTATCAATAGGTCACATTAATGACCTTATAAAAATGAAGAATTTTTTTTAAGTTTCGTTTTTAATTAAAAGGACCCACAATGTGGAAATTAAAAAGCAGAAAACCTAGCCTTACCTTGAAGAGGAGTTCACTGGATATTTTCTACTGATGTCACTTACCCTGAGCCCACTCGGGGGAAGGGCAGGATATAAATGAACAAAATAAATAAATAAATATTTCAGCAGCATTAACCTATTTATACCATATGATGCAGACTTTCCTGCCCTGCATGATATCTTGTTAGAACAATGATATTTTTCTTGGTATATATTTTTTTTCCTGGAAGAGGTCGATTTAGGACTGCCACGAGGGTCTCTATGCACAGAAACTGAACATGGAGGGCGTATGCATGCATGAGGCCAGTCTTGGCCGCCACCTCTCATTCTGTGTGTGGAAGGAGACATGCCTTCAGAGTTTGGGGTCATGCACTAGGAATACAG